TTTTCTTAGAAGAAAAGGGGATGATTGATATTTGTTGACGATGCTAATACAAAGAGACAAGCATGCTTGAGGAATGTTTAAACTAATTAATCTCGTTGATTAAGTTTAGGTCTTTTACATAGATAAAGGCAAAGATAAAACCTATGATATGGTATGATACCTAATGCAATTTCCCTAAACAGGCCCTATTATAATGGGAGAGTTGCCCCTAGACCAGGTAAATGGGAACTAATTAGTTCCTTTTTTTTTTCTTCTTTTTTTTTTTTTCTGAACTGTAGGAATTGGGGGTAGGGGAAGGAAAATAGGGGATAAGGAGTATTGAACCCTGATTGTGCAGGCAAAACACCCATACGCTAGTTACATGGGTCACTATTAGGGTTTCGGAACTAATTAAATTTTTTTTTTTGAACTTTTTGACATGGGACGGATTTAAAACCTGCCCAGAGGAGAGGGAAATGCACTTTTCAATGGCTAGTGCCATTGGGCGTCTAGGGCCAAATGCCGGAACTAATTAATTTGACATCTGTAATAGTGGAGATTGATATGTTTTGTACTAAAAGTATCATTTTATGAGGTAATTTTATATATGTAATTGGTAGAATTATCCCTTATACTCCAATAATAAGTAAAAAAACCATATTGCTAATAAAAGAAAAAAGTTAATCACATCGTATAGCCAAGTCTGGCACATTTCCAATCCACATTGTTGAAGACAGACAGCCTAATCCACATCCACTTGACACTAAATAAATTTGTGGCTAAGAATTAATTTAATTAATTTCAAAGCTTAAATAATTAGATGTTTGGATGGACTCACATGACTCATTGCCTGCTTTCTAGTCCACACCACACAATAATTAATCGAGCCCTTGATCACTGGTCTTTTTCCACAACTAAACTTAAATTAGCTGTGCACACACATGACTCTGTTGCTCCTCATTACGCTGTTCATTTTCCAGCCACAAATTAATCACAAAAGTGAACTCGTAACCTACTGATTTAGTTTTCGTAAAACATATAATAATATAACAAACTAAGTTTAGAATGTAGGCCTCAAATTCCTGAATGGACTGGTTTGGTAATGTTAGCTAACCGCACACGCTTCCACCAGGTCATGTTTAGTTGGAAAGAAAATATTAAGGAATATATATCCTTTATGAAATAAAATAAATGTGTATTGCTTTTCCATCCCTTAATTTATTAAAAAATTGTCAATATTGATGCGTAATTATTTCTAGTCTTTAATTACCCCTTTTTACCTTTAGTATTTTTTTATATATATATGAAATAAAAAAGAATAATTAATTAATAAAAATTTATATTTGTT